TAACGCGAGATCATAAATATCGTAACATTCTTATATTTTCATCAAACCAATCATTAAAATTTATGTTACGATCAGAGAGGCACCGCGTACACATACATATATCAGTTTAGCTGCCATCGTACTCGGTTATAGTCATGTACCGAAAACTCCTGCACTCGGAGGGGTGCGAATCGCGAGGCAAAATACAGGGGGTGTGTATTCCAGGATTCATGTAGCTTAGAATCATGGCGTGGTGCTCACACCCTCGAGGAGGGGGGTAATATTGTAATCTATGTGTGAAAGAATGCGGAGTGAGAAAGGCGCGAGAGATGAAAAATTGGCGCACTCCAATAGGACGAGACCTAGAGTTGTAAGGGGGTAGTTTTCGGCGTCGATGCGCCCATGTTCGAACTCTGCGGTCACTCGGGGGTTGGAGATGTTCTCTGTCTTTTTCCCTCTTTCTGGGCGATTCACGCGGAGATGAAGTGCCGTGCGAACACTGTGGGTGGGGTACGCGTATACGGAAACAATGACGCCTGTACCCAAATCCCTGCTTTCTATTCGCTTTTTTTTTGCCACGGGGTGCCATTAGAACCCCGCGGCGTACCCATAAAAATATAACCCTCGCATTGTGCCAGTACGAAGCCGAAGGTAGAGATTTTCCAATACGGAAACTCATACCCCTCCCCCTTTTTCAATTTTCCCAATGAACATTCATCATTTCCATTTTCTTGTATGAATTTTCCACTTCAGGTTTAACGAAAAAAATTTTACATCAAAATTTATTGTTCTTGATGTTGTGATTCTACTATAGTAGGACTTTATGTACACCAATGGATTTCTATTTTATTGTTCATTTCAGTGTACTTGGAACAATGATGATTAATTCCGATTGAATGTTGATTGCAATATCACGAGTCAATTGGCTTGCACTACAGAAGGATTACAAAGATGATTGACTCCTGGAATTGCGGAGCATTGTCATTTATTCGACCGTGCAAAATTGAAATGACAAAACAGTAATTTGATTGAATGTCAGTTTGACCATGGGTTTGAATTGAAACGGGTGATGCAGCGTAAATCCTAGTAGAATCGTCGATTCATGTAAATTGTCACAATACACTTCATTCTAACTTTTTTTTTATAGGAATATATGCATCCAACCAAAACTTCCCCACCACCTCGGGCACTCCAGCCGACCGTGTGGCACACATCGAATCTTTTCATTGTTCATCTGGGGATGAGTCGTATTATCAATTTTGATATTTTACCAACTCCATTGTACCCTCTCGATGAAACTCATCTGAATCACTGTCATGTCATCTATTTGTCAGTGATCTGAGTTTTATGAATGCTCATTTTTCAAATTATCCCCTTAAATTCCACCGGCAATCAGAAAAAAGTCATCAATAAAAAATTTGAGTGAAGGACAAAAAAAGTAGGAAAAAAAATGAGAGAGAAAAGAGAGTACTTGAAAGAGGTGCTTGTGTCTAATCATGTTTAAGGAGGGGCTTTAATTTTTCATTAAGACAGAGTAGAACATCAAAGACGGTCTTCATTTTTTATCCAATGCCATCATCCCCGGAATCGAGAGTGGATTGCCCGAGGCATTGTCGTTCACTGACTTGTCTCCGCAAAAAAACCCTTTCTCTCCCTCAATCTATTGACATTCTCTAAATATCGCCAGTGATGCGATCCAACCCCTTCGCCTTCCATTATCAAACCCACCGGTTAAAAAACCCTGAAAAATATATAACCTCAAAGAGCCATCTGTACCTCCACCCCACTGTGATCAATTATTACCAGATTGATTCTAACAAGTACACGTAACCACTGATATGTTTGTTTTCCTTCGCCTTGTTCTTTATTCACCTCACCATTTCAGATTATTCTGGTATTCACACTTATGTGGTTTTAGATCTCCAGTCGGTCGATATCTTAATAATGAATACAAGGGGGGGTTTCACTCTTGTTGGCTGTTGTGGGGCGATTGAAGAAGGGGTGAAGGGAGAGGGAGGTGATTGAGGGGTACTAACAGAAACGGGGGAATGGTGCTGTGTTACGATATAGATATCTATATACATGTATAATGCTTATATACAACGAGGAAAAAGAGGGATGGCCATGGAGAAAACGAGGAGACGAAAAAGGAGCAGGAGAAGGAGGGGTGGAAGATCATTCGCACCTCGGTGGTGTAATGAGAAAATTTGAAATATCGCACCCACCATCCCTTCAATTTATAACGAAAAAAAATAACACTGTCGTAGTCATATCCGACTGATCCACCGTCTCCTTTCACCGCCTTGCGACGCCAACCCTTCGTCATATCACACTCCGCGGAATCACTCATTCCGTTTTTCTCAATTCATAATAGCACCTGTTCATACCTCAGAACACCACAAATTGATGCTTCCTCTTCCTCTTTTTTCAGCAATAAAGGCAAAATGAACAAAGTAATTTGTCGAAAACTTTGAACTTTTGGGTCCGATCATCAGAATCGCAGCTGCAGTTGCACCAAAAGCCAAAAGCCCAGCACCGAGTAATGATCGACTCGACCCCTGCATAAGGAGGCTAATGTCTAGCGTCACGAAACCCTATCGTTCTCAATTTTTTCTTCAACTCCCTCATTTTTCCTTTGTTATAACGAGAAACTCGTGTAATTTGATGTATTTCTTAGATTCTGATTAGAAGATTAATGAGAAAATGATTAATTTCATCAGAGTTGTATAAAGAAGATGGGGTGGGGAAATTATATTATAATTTCTATGCACATCACGGGGTACATAGATGCAGCACGTGGTAGTGACGATAGACGTTAGCATCGTCCAACTGGTAATGACGAACACATGCGCTTCTCAAACCCTCCAGTCAGCATTATTCCAATCGGCCCACAAGATCTATATATGTATATGCATTCTACATATGTTTGACTCATTAATTGGCATCTGGAGTCAATTAAAATTACCGTTAATTATTAGTTTGGTTATTTGACAGTAAAACGTGGAGGCGCATTCATTGATTTCAACAAATGTTTTAAGGGGGAGAGGAACTTTGGGTTTTTCCCGATATTGTATTTGATGATTTTCTACCAATGTTTCATTCATTTTTAGCCTCATTGATGGTCTCCATTCACTCTCGTGCAGGATGTTAGCCTGTCACTATTGATACACATCCGTTCCTCCCGCGCAATTGGAATTGCTGCGTATTACAGGTCTCAAATACCTATTTACGCTCCCCGTATTATTCCGTAATTATCGATAACATCGTCAAGGCTTTTTGCCGGAAAACAATGGGTCATTACATTACTTATAGTCTATAGCTCGAACCTGTACGTTGCACTACAGCGTCATTTTTCTTCAATTTTTTTTATAAACACAACTGCACTGTTCAAAATTTTTGTCTGAAGTTTCCGTGCCAAATTCCGGGAATTTTTATCATCTTCCAATTCTACTCAAATTTCAGGAAATCTTGTCATTGAAAATTCCGAATTTCGGGGAAAAATCAAACAGAACTGTATATTTCCGTTCCATTTTTCCCTGAAAATGAATGGAAAACCAGAAAATTCTGATAAATATATTCTTGAATTTTCAGGACAGCGGTACTGAATGCGATTTAAGGGGGAAAATCCTGAAATTTCAGATTTCACTGAAAATTCAACGCAATTCGACTAGTGATGTCGCGAGAGACTTTACGAGACAATACTTTGGAAAGATGGTGTCGATCTCAATAAACATGAAAATCTTTGGTCTCGTCTCAGTCTCGACATACGCAGTATCGACTCCTCTCGTAATGAGTCCGAGTCAATTTATCTTATCTCGGTCTCAAGTTTTTCGTATTTTTAATGTAAAATTTCGGGTTTTGTCTCATTTTGTCTCGTTTCGATTTTCTACATGTAAAAACGCGAAAAACTGGAAACCGAGGTGAGATAAATTAACTCGAAGTCGATACTACGTATTTCGAGTCTACAACGAGACCAAAAATTTCCACGTTCATCGACCGAAACCATGTCTCCAAAGTATTGTCTCCTAAAATCTCTTGCGGCATCACTAGTGAAATTGCATTGAATTTTCCGTGAAATCTAAAATTTCATGATTTTTTTTCTCCTGAATCGAGTGATCATATTGAACATTCGAATCAGTGGGACACACTGGTGAATCACGGCAATATTCAGTTGATTCATTCTTCCATGACAACTGGTGACGAATTTTCCAATAGTGTCCATTAAATGGCACCTTTAATCGATTGAATAATTCCAAAGTGGTTCTGGGAATAAGACGACCAAAATAAACGATAATTGATAATTTTGGGACGAGATTGACATTTCAAAACTGATGACCAATTCTCATTTTTCATTCGTCTGACACTTTGTCTCTTCATGAGCTCTATATTCATTCGACTTCCTCCGATAATGATCGACAAACATATGCAAACATTCGTAATTTTCAAAGGGGTGAATGTACCCACTTATTATTTTCATGTTTATTTTCATTCTACGACTCTTTCTATCTTTGGTATTCCGGCGTTCCCGAAATATTCGAATTTCATATGAATTAATTAACTGAGTGTTTGAAGTTATAGCCTCGCGAAACCCTACTTCAATCTCATATACGTATATAACCTCTCCCTAATTCTATTTTCGTTGAAAATCTCATCTCATTTCTCTCTGAAGCATTATGATTGATTTCAAGTTTTGTGACTATTCGCTGTAAATATAATTTACCGCAAAGTTTCGCTTGTGGAATTCATGATGGAATTGTTGATGGAGGTGATCATAGACTGCGGGCGAAATGTTGTTTCCAAGACGGTGGCGAAAGACCAGTGGCTATTTTAAAGTGCGATTGAGTCTCGTAGACCATATTGGCGCCATATTAATCGTAAATTTACTTGGTGGGACATAAACCCTCTGTGTTAATCTTTACTTCCCTTGGAATAAATGAAAGCCATTAATGTATCATTCATTACCCGAGTTAATTTCAAAGCAATTTCACTAAAGAAAAATATCTTTCCTTATGTTATTGCAGAGGGCAACACTAGCTGAGAAAGAGGTAACCACGCTGAAGGAGCAGCTTTCCGCGCTGACTGATGGTAATTCTAAGACTGAGGGACAACAGCAGACGTCCCAAAATGTACAGATCACAGATACAAGTCATGATCAAAGTAATCCAAGAAGAACACCCAACAGTAACTTGGAGCAGGAGCTTCAGGCCAAAGATAAAGAGGTAAGTTCACCTGCTAATCCTCAAGGACAACATTAATATCTTCATTATTCAAGATTATTCAAAACGCAAATAATTCCATGAATGGAATAGACACAATAGCTCCAACATGTACATGGACGTGTGCAATTGCAAGAGGGTTAAAGCATACTCTCTCTCCCTCTTCCTCTCTCTTTCTCTCTATCACCTCGCACATTTACCCCTTCTCTGAACCAACAAACGCCTATAGACTGAAAACGACTACCATGGCAATGGCAATACAACAATGGATGTTGAACACCGATCGACGTATTACCAGATGCTATTCACTTTTTAACCTATCACCCTGATTCACTCGCACAATCCCCTCATTTTCCACTTAAGCTATACCCACAGATTCCACATTACCACAGTAATTACCATCACATTATATGGTTGCTCTTCTCTTCTCATCCATAGTTTCAATGCTTAATTCGATAATATCCGGATATCCTCATCATTCTGAAAAAATGCCGATCGACGTATGGATGAATACAGAAAATAGATTGAAGATCCAGTTGAATAGTATTCGATGTCTGCATATGAAAGTTCAATAGTCGCGCATGTGTATTTTTGGATGGGGACATTTTGGACGTGCCTTCATTCCACAGAATGCGACACCAACGAACCTGCGACGACGAGTGAAACGCACCCGGGACACAGTAAAAGTATTAAATAAGCTATGGGAAGTGTCATTTCAATATAAATCCTAATATCGTTTAACGAGAATTGGCGATGCTATAAGTGGACGATAGGTGTCTTAAAAAAGCCACATATACGTATAAATTGTGGCAAGTAAAGTTGTGAGTAATTTTCAACGGTAATGACATGAGGCGCGCTTATGTTTGTAGGGTAAATAAAATCAAAGACATATTCAATGTGGGCAAGTGAATGCGAGACCATTTGCCACAACGTTGTGCCATGCTCAAAATAAACTCTCAAGACATGGATACCGATCGTAAACGGTATGATGAGAATGAAAAGGAAATAAGTGGAAATAAGCACTGAGGGGGAAGGGATAGTTTGTGAAAAAATAACTCGATGAAGAAGCTGAGAAACCCACACTCACTGATAATCGAGTGTTCTCGTTTTCTCGCTATTTTACTGTCAACGATTCGAGTTGATTACTCGGAATTTCTGGTGTATTTATATACTACACATCATTGCGGATCATCGTACGTCTATTAACCATTGGGTTATGGTAGATGGAATGACATTAATTCGTGCCGATACTATCAGTCTCGAGTGCCATTTCCAATATTCAACTGATTTTATTACACCGTTTTAGTGCTTAAATAAACTTGAATTATATTTATCATGGCTAATTTCCTAGGTGGTTAAGAGGCTAGAAAAATAAATATATTGCAGTGCCCACCTAGCATAAGTAGCTGGGGATAAGAGCAGTCGTATGTTTACTTTTAACGTCTCTTCCCATGGCGTTATGCATTCTTAACCGGCTGTTAGCCCTTTTGTCCGGTAGTATCGTAAAAATTGTGTGAAAAATATATATAGCCGCTATCTTTTTAACCATAAAATCCAATGCATTAGGCTTCCGTTTACCGCAAAATCTCCGGTAAGAGAAAATAAAATGGGGTGAACAATATTCTCGATATTTAAAGAGTGGTTAAAAGTGATGAAAATGGCACTTCAAGTTCAATAAGTATTCTTCTCACTGGCAACAGAATGGAAGTTTGACTCTAGTGCGGTAACGCAAAAGTTGGATCTCCCCAACCACTTGATGAAGAATCGTTTGCTCAACGCCTTTGGTCCGTTGTAATTCCAAGTACCGATAATCGTCAATCCCCTCAATCTCTCTCCCTCTTCACTCATCCTGGCTTTCTGTTCTGGGCTTCTTTCATCCCTCTTTGCATTCTCCGTAAAATGTGCTCTTAGCTGCCGGCCGCCCCCTGTCTCACAACTCGGGATAAGAATTTTCACTCCCTTGGACGATACAATGTCTCTGTTGAGTTATCACCAATCGACAACCACTCTTTGGATATTTTTTTCTCCCATCGCTTTGATATTATTGTAATTTGTTGCGGGAAATCGAGGGAACAGGATGACATTTCGCCGATAAAGATTATCGACTTCCTTCCCGCCCAGTCATTACATTTCAAAGTATAGGAATATTCTTTGTGGAACAATCAGTCGATTTCCATTTGTGTTTTTGTTTGTATTTTAAAATGAATAACTTCAATAATTCTTTTCTTCAGTGGCGTATAACGTGGAGGAATTCAATAATGAATAAAAGGATACATTTCAATGGGAAGAATGTAAAACAAAAGGACCTTTTATTCCATTTCACGAAAGAAAAAAATTACAACAGGGATGAATAATAATATTATTGAGCAAAGTTTGTGATCCATACTAATTTAGAATTAATCGATAAATAATTAATAAATAGCAGGCCGTTTTTAGCTCCCAAAAGAATTAATATATTTACTCGGAGAAATACACCATCGTTTACTAATTCATAACGCTAGACTGGTCACCATGCGAGGGAATTGCCGCAACACGTCGTTTTATTCACCTTGCCATCGACTGGTTGATCGGAAAAATTTGAGAAAAATTGAATTCGTCAGTTGAATTATCTGGAAAATTTTAGTATTTTTTTTCAATATTGTATCCTTACTTCTGGGAGAAAAAAAAATTATTTCCAACAGGTGAACAATTTTTTCCCGTGTTAAATGAAATTGCCTGTTGCGCGACGTTGCTGGGAACTCGCTAAACGCGCCGGGAAGTGTAGAGTGGATTCGGCAACGCTGGAGCCTAAATAACACGGCGGCACTCTCCCGCGAAGGTGACTAAAGTCGCATTTTCCCGTCAGGTGACCAGACTAGGGTTAAATACCTATCTGCTTCCAACTACTTCTTAAGAATTCATGGGTTTGAAGTTTCTAAATGAAGAATATCACTCTAATGTTATTTTAATCATCATATCCTTGCACCGGCTTCAGTATGAGAACGTGAAGATTGTTGAGTCAGAGGTATGTGAGACTTAGAACGAGAGGTTGCCCAGTGCCAAGGCAAATACGAATCGCGAGTGTTTGAAAACAACACTGGCCTGATGTACCCATCGCGGGAGGAGAAGAAATAAACTGACTCATGTCAATCATCAGTTAAAATACACCATTGAGTTTTGTATTTTATTCGCTCCGCTATCGAATTGATAATTAAAATTTTGATACATTCAGGGTAAAATGGAAGTTCATCGAGTTTTGTTTATCAATTATTTGGATTGTCTATTGGTTTTCAAAGGCCAAAATGATTGAATATGAATTGCAAATTGACGGGTGAAACAATAGTCAGCCATGATGATAATAACGCCAATAACAAATACAGTGTTAGACCGTATATTTGTCTTGATAGGGAGATTTACTGATGATTACGCGATAAGGAGCTGAATCGAGACTGCGCAATGGCACGTGCACCATTCGGGCGATAATAAAACCGCGACAAACACTGCTTACGACGCCGAATTGATAATTTTTTTTATCTGAAATACATACATCAGAGAAATAACACCAATAAGCCATTCGATTTTCGACTCGATCTTTTATTATTCTATTTGGTATCTGCTTCAACTCCAGCGATGATTGTACATGGGATTTTTCGCAGCAGTAAATATTCCTCATTTGAGGAACATTATTTTTGTAGTAGGCTTATTTTGATTGAAAACGACATACCGTTAGGAAAGAGACTGAAATTTCAAAAGATATTCAATTTTCAGAGAATAATTGAAGTGACATTTGCAGTTGCCATTGATTTTTCCATAAAAATATAAATTTTCAACGATGAAATTTCTTGGAATTTCAGTGAAAATATAATGTGAGCAAAATTTCAAGAAATGCGCTGGAAATTTTAGCCAAAATTTCTTTATCAGTGATTGGATCGAATCAGATATCCACGTCAAATCAGCAGGACAAAAAAGTCGATGCTAATGATTTTTGTCTCAATTTTTTTCTGAAAAGATGGCGATGAGATAAAAATTTTGAAAAAATTTAAAAAAATATTGATAATTGAGGGAGTTATGATTTTTTGAAAATGGCTCATTTTTGTCAAAAAACTTTTTTTTTTCAAATTAGCCTCAATATTTCTGCGGGTTTTCAAGCTCTCAAATCGCCCTTCGGCATACTCAAAGAATATGAAAAACCCTTCAAACGCCATACACAGCATTATCTTCAGTTTGACAGAATTTGTACGAGAAAACGTTTTTTTTTTCAATCGTGAATTACTGAAAAAACAATTTTTTAAATCTGAAATTTTCACCAAAAATTGTCAATAAAATGAAAGAAATTTTGGCACCAATTAGAGTTTGTCTTTTGCCGTAGTTTGGTCGTTATTATTTTTTTCAGTAGGACAAATACTGAAAATTACTGAAAATCACTATTATTCATGCAATTATCCCCCAAATGAGTGAATATTCAAATGAGTAATTATAAATAAGTCAATTCACTTAAACTCTCGATTACCAACAAATGAAAACTTTTTGAAAAATGTGTCTGCTTTTTGAATCTTTGGAATCTGCTTTGGAATCTCGAAATTAAGAACATTGTTATTTTATTGAAAATAAATTTTTTTCGTTTGAGAACTACATGGAATTGAAGGCTATGCGTCGCACCCTTAGAGAGACAGGGAAATCCCATTCCGAATTGAAAAGCGAAATGACATTGGTTTTGTGCCAATAGTTTCCGAGAGATGACAAAAAGAAATTTCATTGAATAACAAAATTTCCATTCCCAACTGCAACTACTGGAGCAATTTTATTGTCCTTTCACTGGCAAATGGTCAAACATGGAAAATTATTCCTGAATAAAAAATAATATTCCTGAGTCGAAAATTGTTTCATTTCGACGGAATGAGGAAAAACCATTAATATAATGGTCGTAAAGATCGACGAGGAATTATTGGAGAGATTGTGAAATTGTCACGAAATTGTTTGAACAAGTTTTTTACGAGTTATAAGGTGATATAAGGAAAAAAAGA